ATTGACTAGAGAAATAATGGAAGCGGAAAGGATAGCACAGCTGAAGGACAAGTCTGTAAGTAGTCCTTCTATAGCGCTGTCGACCAAAGAGCTCCAATTTCTATCTAAATGATAGCGATGAGGGAGAGGGCCAATTCGGAAAAGTGTTTCGTTTAGACATTTTTTTCCGTTTCTTCATTTGTCTTCTCTTTTACTGTTCTTTTGCCTTCTCTTTAGAATTTTTCTTTGTATTTCGTGCTACTTCTTCTACTCATCACGTTCTGAAAAGTCAACCCAGACGTTGAAGAGAAAATGAAGCAGTCGAATACACAAGAGTTGTAAGTTCAGCGCGTGTGCTTGTCTTCCTGAGTGTCTGGTGTGAGATTAATTTTGCTGCGCTGTCACCGCCAAGTATGGTTCACCAACTCGCTCAAGCTTCCATCCTATCGACTTAGTGTACTTTACGGGGCTACTCAATATAATTGCTACTTGAACGCAACTAATCGCAAATCTCTCTCCCAGTTTGTCCCAGTTTCCACGGCCTACAAGCAAGCAAGCACCAGTTCGTTTTTCCTCAAAGGTGAGCATTCCAGATACTTTAATTAGGTGCACGGTGTAAGATAATACTCTTCGGGTGAGGACAGCGCGCTCTTGGCCACGGCCCGATGAAGTTCGCTCTTCACACTCTCTCACTTTGGTTTGAAGCAACGCCAGCAGGTGACTCGTCGACCCGTGGGCACGTTAAAGACAGCTCGTGCCGCCTTATGTACCGCACGCGCAGAGCTCCAGCGAGGTTGTCACACGTGCAGAAAGACCATGGTGTACCGGGGTGTCATGACAACGAGATAATGTTTTTTTGCTGTCACACAGTTCCGCCGTTTGGCCGCCGGTGACACTGTCAGTCGCGGGCACGGTGGCAGCCGAATGATGCAGTCTTTCGGATGCCCGTCGAACGAACACTATTTGATTCCTCGCGCCGCGCGTTCAGCCCCGGCGTGTCCTCACCTAAAGAGTGTATCTTTCACCGTGGTTAGGTGCAAAGCAGGAACTGTGAAGCCAGACGAGCGGATAGGTGTATTTAATTGACCGAGCTCAGAATGACCCGTGGCAGTGGAATGGAAGCTTATCTTTCCGCAATCAAACACAGACATAATTTTGAATCTATCCAGCTTAGTGAAGGATTGCTACTTGTTGCAAACTAATCCCAAATTTTTATTTTGCAGCTTCTATATGGCTACAGCTAACAGGTGCTGTTTTCATTGAAAGGTGAGGATTTCACATTCTGTTTTTAAACAGCAAGTTTTTGAATGAGAGTCCTAAACAATTAACTTTCTTTTGCAGTAAATGCGAGATCCTCCAGTTCAGGAATATGTTAAATATATTTGCTATGGATAAGCCCAGTGTTTTGCTTCTTTATTCATAATTTGACAACAGCAACATTTTTTATTTTATCACTCAGAAATACACACAAGAAGAGACTGCGTTGCGGAGAAATGCTGCGCTGAACGTGATTTTCCAACTCGTGTATAGTTATTGGTAGCCGATATAATATATTGGATTCCAATATCCATAATACGCTGAGTATATTGAAATTGTAAACCCTTATTGGATCCCCATAGACACATGGGGATCCAATAAGGGTTTATACGGTATTGGATTCCAATGTTTTCAGCGTATTATGGATATTGGAATCCCATAACAAACCCTTATTGTAATACAATACAATAAATGTAATGTTTTCCAATACACTGTCCATATCGTATTGCAATACAATCAAAAAGATATTGTTTACCAATATCCATAATACGCTGTTCATATTGGGGTTTTCCAATAGGGATGCAACAATGTGATGTCCATTATTGTGGTTGTCGCTTAACTCCAGTACAACTGTGCGCAGTGAGAAGCGCCCTCAACAAAGCTAGCTAACCTATCGGAACAGATCAACCACACGAGAAATATAAGAAAAGAAATTCAGAGTACTTTCAGCGTTTAATAAAGACGAAATCAAATAGTACATTATTTGATATGAAACTCGAAACTCATGAAAATTCGCACAAGCCCACTATAACAATCTGGCATGTAGCGAGGCCTGAGCTATTATATTTTCAGTATCAAGTGATATTTACTCTTGGCCAAAATTCCTCAAATTTAGGAAAATGTGGCAGGGTAAGCACTTTGGCACAGTAATCACATCCTTCCGGTGCGGGTTTCTACCAGTTATTGACACCATAACTCTCATAATTTTTAAAGAATATAGGATGAACAAAGTGACAATAGTAATTATAACTCTTAATTTCCTGTTGCACAACCAGCAAAACAACACTAAGCATCAAATGCAACAAAACGAACCATATGTACATTAAAAACCACTTATTTCAACATTCCTATTATTGAAGAGCAGCGGAATGTTCCCGGTGTTGACAGCACCATATAACCCAAGCAGCCACTGGTAACTTTTAACAAATCTCTCCTAAGTGACTGCAACGTTTCACATTCAACAACTGGAGAGCCACCAGCGATTTTGCTGTTGTGTAGATGTCTCCACACGAGATTGTATAATGTCAAGCCGTCCGTGGAAGCCAACGTGAGCAGACATCAGTTCCTTCAGGTGACACAAAGGGTTAGAGCATGGGAGTTTTGTGTCAATGACGAAGTTTGTGTGTTGAACAGCCGACTGGGGAACGAGTGACTAAAAGCTACTATCCTGCCAAGGAGTGTACTTACAAGCTGCAGGTACAAGAGAACTATGACACTTTCATCGCGCATTGTCACCAAGATCACATCCGGCCTGATGCTGATTAAGACGAACAGACACCATTTCGAAAAAATTGGGTTTTATGTATGTTTATGCAGCTTAAAACTTAGTCTGCCTCAGCGGGCAATGAGTCTCCCAGCTGTAGATGAGAAATTTATTCAGCGCAGTGCAAACGCTAGCATGGGTTTTTTATCGTGCACCACGCAGTAGTGATACACGACCGCGCGCCGGTGCGATACTCATTAAGATTAAAATGGAGACAGCCTTTTCTGTGCAAGGAGGCAGAGTTGATGTTCGGGTAGTTCAGAGAAAGGTCTATTGAAACAGCAGAACAGCCCTATTGAAAATTCTTATTTGTATGAGAAATTTCTGTGTCCAATAAACACATATGAATCATACAAGATATATAAGAACATATAAGAACGAAATGAGAACTATATAAGAACTATATAAGACATATAAGAACACGAAAGCACCGTATAAGAAACTTGTGAGAAGTATCTTTTTTATTTCTTATATGGTTCTTATATCTTCTTATAGATCTTGTATGATTCATATGTGTTTATTGAACACGAGAAATTTCTCATATAAGACTTTTTTAACTAGGGAGTGGTTTTTAGTTGTTAATTAGAGGACCACGAAAGTTCCTCAGGTAGCGACAAACTTGAAAGGTTTGCTCAGCTAGGTCCATCATTGTGATGTGGAAAGGTCTGTCGAGAATGTGAAATTGTTTAATTCTGTGAATCGCACGCTCAACAATGACACGAGCACTTGCTACATGTCGGGTGTGCGGAGCTCATTCTCAGCCATTCGCGGCTCTCCAGGTTTCCGGAAGCAAGGAATGTGCACTCCCACACCCGGTGGCTGGTCATGAGTTTAAAACCTTTCTAGAATGGAAAGTTGGGCGAGTTGGTATGAATTCATTTTGAAAAACAGCGCGAATACCTTCTTGTCCGTGTGGTATTCGCGCTGTTTTTCAAAATTAAAACCTTTGTCAACCATGGCATCACCCGGTTGAAGCTGTTCTAAGAGCCCACTTTTACCAACGATCACGCGGTCAGACGAAGACCCTCCCCACAGATCTGAAACAGAAGAGATGTAACCGACGGGCGCACAGCCTACAACTGCCGCTTGAACGTATTGGAGTGTTTA